AAGACCAGACTTACAAAATATTTCAACAAACAAAAGGACCAGAGCTCTTCTAGTTCATCTACCAGAGCCTCTTGCTTAGGTAAAATTCTCAAAACGTTCATAACCAACATCATGGATAATAAAAATAGCTTTCTTAAGTATAAAAACATATTTTAAAAGGATCATGTATGACTAGAGCTCTGGTTCTACTAGCCAGAGCTTCTGGCTCAAAATGCAAGACCAACCAGAGGCCTTCTGGTCCAACGCATAGGCCAACCAGAGCCACTCTGGTCTGTCTTCCTTTGTAAGAAAAGTTCTAAGTATAAATCTTAAAAAATAACTTTTTAAAATATGATTTGGACACAGAGCTTCTATCTAATAGATACAGAGGCTCTGGTTTAACTAAAACTTTAGTAAAGACTGGTATCCATATTAAAACATCATTCAGAACCCTCTAGTTCTATTATGAGGACCAACCAGAGCCCCTCTGGTTCCTTTCAAGGAACAACCAGAGCCTCTCTGGTTCCTCTTGAATCAAACACTTGTTCCAAAACAGAGTTTATCCAAAACCATTGGCCATAGGCCAAGTTTTCCTCTTCTCAATAACATCAATACTACCATTTCTAATAAGAGCAACATCTCTGAGTCCTCAAATCACAAAGAAGAAAGAACTCAAATCTATTGCAATCTTACAAGCCATAGAGCTATAATAATTCCACACACAATTGTCACCCTTATATCAAAAGGTACACCTCTCATTGATATGTCACCCTTATCCCATGGTACACCTCTCTTTGATATGCCACCCTTATTTCCTCATCAAAATCTATGGATTAGTTCCAAACAAAGACAGACCGAAGTCACAATCGTCTTGATGAAACAGCCTCCATAGTTTCATCTACAAAATCTATAGATTAATCCCAAAGTCACAACCATCTTGATGGAATATCCTCTATAGTTTTTAACCAGTAATGGCTTCAAAATAGTTTTATCTTCAAAGCTTTAAAACTCAAGAACAACCAGTTCTTTCAATATCATTTCCAACTCAAAACTCCTTTAAATCCTCAAAATAGGATGTCAATCATACTGTTTTAAACAAGCAAAGCCTTCTTTATTTTCCAAAACAGTTTTCTCAACCAGATTCATAAAACTCAGCTCAAAACTGTTTAAAAATAGAAATTACCATTCTTCCTCAAGAATCATTTCATCCAAAAATCCAACAGTTTTAAATACTATTACTTAAAAGAATTTAGTAATAAAAACTCACCTTAAAAGCACATATTAGTAGCTTTAAACACACGGTAGTTTCTTCACACAACACAGATTCCTCGAATCTCTTCTTAAGTCATAAACTTTCTCAAGAACAATCTCCACCGCCACATACACTTTTTCTCTCAACAGTTCTTCCCGAAAACAAGATAAGATAAATCTTATCTCTTTACTTTCTTTATATATAATCTAATAGAGGCGGTGTAGTTTTAATAATATAAAACTCTTATTGGCAGTGGATTTATTATTTTAAAACTCACTTTTCTCAATCATGAAGGCTTACCTATTTTCATGATAAAATATTAATAAACCAATTAAGCATTCTACCCCACCAACATGTAATTCAATTTACGTGCACACACACATACACACACACACACACACACACATATATATATATATATATGTATATATATGAACACTCACGCATGTATGCACAATAACATATTTTCACGTATACGCCTACTATTCATACACTTAAGTAAATAATATGCATGCCAACACATATTTCACATGTTATCTCATAAAGGTTACCTCAATCGACGTTGTCTGAAACCCGGTTATCACAGTTTTTCTCACTTTTTGCTCATTTGAGTCTCTTTCCTTGCCTAGCATGATACCTAAACGTAACCAAACTACCAAATACCTGGTTTTAGTTATTCAAAAAGACGAAATAACGATAAATATGCAACTAGGGAATTTTACTTGCTTAAAATTTTTCTGGTGTTCAGATCCAAGGGTGGGATCTTTACTTACGTTTCTCACCATAATCCAACCCTATATATATATATATATATGTGTGTGTGTGTGTGAATGATCGTGTGAGAAGGAGAGTTAAAGTGAAAAGCATAAGAAATGATCTGGATCTTTGATCACCTTTAATCTCAAACCCACCCATGAATCGCTCTTGATAATGGGATTGATCCGATGCATCTCATCCTAATATGCATATAAAAGTTACAAGATAAAAGTAAAAGTAAATTACAAAATTAGTCCTTGGTTGGGTAAATGACAAAATAAAAAGGATGAAAGAACGAAAATGCTCTTCACTTAGAGCATATCCAATGATAAAAATAAAGACTTCATGAAAAGATTGATAATCACTTGATGAAAAAGTTAACCATTAGAGCAATAACTTGAAGAATGCCTTGACAAACAAAAGCTTGGAGGATGTCAAGTGTAAAGAAGATTTATGCATGTGTATTAAAAATGAATCAAAAATACAAGAAAAGCTTTGAAAGACTTGACCGGTGGAGTAAGTATTTGAATTAGTGAGAATCTGATATGACAGATAAATCAAGTCTTTTAAATACTTGACCATTATAGATGCTCTTACTTAATTGAGAATTTTAAGTCAAGGGACTATCTTTAAAAATAAAATACAAATTACAGTAATCATTACTATACTTAAACATGTTTAGAGCATCTCCAATACATAAGTCTTCTATGGCTTTTTATATTACAATCAACTATTGTAAGGGGTAAATACCATTGGAGCCAAAAGGTTTTTGAATAAAGGGTTGGATATGCCCAAATGTTATTAGGATGACTTCTTCACACCAAATTTTCATTTTACCCCCTTAGGTTATCCTTTTATTTCCTTTTTCAATATAACTTTTCATTTTAAATCTTAACACATTTTGATCAATTAATTTAATTCATTTTTATAACAAAATATATTATTAAAAATTTCTTGGGAAGACGAACATGAGTACCTAAAAAATCATATAAAAAAAGTACAAACTTCAACTCTAAAAGAAAAGAAAAATGTCAAGTTCGGAAGATATAAGAAGGGATGGGCTAATGGCACCCCTAAAGCCTAATTCATCATTTTTTTTTTTTTTTTTTTTTTTTTTTTTTTTTTTTTTTTTTTTTTTTTTTTTTTT